ATTTCACTGTAAGAAGCAGCATATCTGTGACTAGTTTCAGGAGGGTTTCAGGTGGGTACAAGGAAGTGGAACTGGAAAAGCTGCAAATAACTAAATGGGGATAGGAAGCAGCTGATTAGAGGGCCATCTAACATTCTTCTTTGATTTCATGCCGCTGAAATAAGGATCTTGCCAGGTCTGCATTTAAAGAGGAATTTGAATATTGAACTTGAGTACTTGCGCTCTTAGATGTCATTAGTGCCTGTAAAATAAACAGTTTGAGTCCTGGCAGTGACTTTGTCCGAGTCCATTCCTCATTTATGTGCAATTGTCTGTGACTGCAAAAGAAAACTGCAATCTACAGTGGAAATATGATCATTCCAGGGTCCAGCTGCAGAATAGCTCTGAATGAGTAGGATTGCAAACGCAGTACACGTATTCATTAGGAATACATAGACTGCTGCTATAGATCCCATCGAATCACGGGGCGGCACGGTGGCTCAGTGGTTAGCACTGCTACCTCACAGCGCCAGGGAACTGGAGTCAATTCCAGACTCGGGTGACTGTCTGTGTGGAGTTTGCACATTCTCCCCGTGTCTGCGAGGGCTATGTCCAGGTGTTCCGGTTTCCTCCCACAGTCCAATGATGTGCAGGTTAGGTGGGTTGGCCATGCTAAATTGCCTGTAGTGTCTGGAAATGTGTAGGTTATATGGATTAGCCATGGGAAATGCAAGGTTACAGGGACAGGGTAGGGGGGTGAGTCTGGGTGGGATGCTGTTCGGAGGGTCAGTGTGGACTTGTTGAGCTGAATGGCCTGTTTCTGCACTGTAGGGATTCTCTGATTGAATCATAAGATCGGTAACAGGAATTGGTCATCCAGCCAATTCAGCATGTTTCACATGCAATATCATCAGGACTGAGTCCCCTTTCCTGTCTGTGTCCCATAACCCTTGACTGTCTTGTCAACCAAGAGTTTGATTAACTTAATTGAATAAAATTATCCATCCTCCACTAACCTTGAATGAGGAAAATTCCAAACACTAACAACACTTTTGCAGGAGGATTTCTATCTTGTCTCTAACTTAAATGGGAGACTCCATATTTTTAAACTCTTTTTCCCAGCTCTAGATTGCCCATGAGAGGAGTCATCCTCTCCCTGTTAAGACTTCTCAGAATTTTATATAAGCTTACAAGATCATTGCCTCAAAACTCTAGTTGACTGATTCATTTGCTTGAACATAGTGGAAATATTATAGAGAACTGCATTGCCTTTACTTTTGCCCAGAAGCTTGGTTTCCAAACAAAGATCAGTATGCACACTAAGAGAACATCCAGCATTAAGTACACGGATGAAAAAGCATGAATTGGCCACTGCCTCTCATTATTGCATGTAGACTAGCCTGTCCAGCCCGTTAATAGACAATAGGTATACTTGAAAGCAGGTAGATATGGCCAGGCAGTACAGCACGTTAGGGGATCAACAGCAATGCTACTCAATGACTCAGGACAAGGAAGTACAGTGTTACCTCATGGTTACATGGTCACCATTAAGCCAGCATTTTATTGAATTCATATTGTTTTATTTCAAGGGGTATAACAGGTAAGGCAAATGAACTTAGAGCTTGGATTAATACATATAACTATGATGTTGTAGCTCTTATAGAGACTTGGTTGAGAGAAGGACAAGGCTGGCAGCTTAATGTTCTGGGATTAGCTGTTTCAGATGTAAAAGAAAGGTACGTAAAAGAAGTGAGGGAGTCATATTACTGAGAAGGGAGAACATCACAGTTGTACTAAGGGAGGACATCTTGGAGGGATCATCTAGTGAGGCCATATGGAGCTCAGGAATAGGAAGGGTGCAATCACTTTGATGGGATTGTACTGCAGGCCTCCCAACTGCCAGCAGGTGACAGCGGAACGGATATGTGGACAAATTATGGAGAAATGTAAAAACAGCAGGGTTGTTGTGGTCGATAATTTTAACTTCCCTATATTGACTTGGACTTGCTTAGTGCCAGGGGCTTAGATTGTCTGGGGGGGTGGGTGGAATTTGTTAGATATGTCCAGGATGCTTTTTTGAAACAATATGTAAACAATCAAACTAGGGAAGGGGTTATACTAGACTGGGATTGGGGAATGAGCCTGGCCAGGTGATCAAAGTGTCAATGGAGGAGCATTTCGGGAACAATAATTCTGTAAGTTTTAATTTACTTAAAGATAACAATAAGAATAACCATCGAATGAAAGTATTAAATTGGGTGAAGGTTAACTTTGACAATATTAGGCAGGAACTGGGCAGCTGTTTCTAGGTAAATCCACATTTGGCATATGGGAATCTTTTAAAGACCAGTTGATTAGAATTTAGGAACAGCATGTTCCTGTGAAATGAAGGATAAGGATGGCAAGATTCCTGAAACTTGGATAACAAAAAAAGTTGACCATTAGTCAAAATTAAAAAAAGGCATATGTAAGGTTTAGGAAACTGTGGGACGTGTGGGTTTAGGAAACTGTGGGACGTGTGAAGAATATAAAGATAGCAGGATAGAACTCGAACGATGACTTAGGAGGGCTAAAAGGGACCATGAGATGTCTTTGGCAAACAGGATTAAGGAAAATCCCAAGGTGTTTATACATCTATAAGGAGCAAGACAGTAGCTAGGGAAAGGGTAGGTCCACTCAAGGACAAAGAAGGGAATTTATATGTGGAGCCGGAGAAAGTGGGTGAGGTATCTAATGAGTATTTTGTATTGGTATTCATAAAGGAGAAGGACATGGTGGATGGTCTCAGGAGGGGTATGTTGATGTTCCAGGGCATGTTGATATAAAAAAGGAGGTGTTGGGTATTTTGAAAAGCATCAATGGACTTGATTGGATCTATCCCAGAATACTGAGGGAGGCAGCTGAGAAAATTGCTGGCCTTATATGAAATCTCTGTATCCTCTTTAGTCACAAGAGAGGTCCCAAAGACTGGAACATAGCCAACATTGTTCCTTTATATAAGAAGGCAACAGGGATAATCCAGGAAATTACAAGTGAGCCTTCCTTCAATGGTAGAGAAATTATTGGAGAAGATTCTTAGGGATAGGATTTACTCACATTTGGCAATATACGGACTTATTAATGAAAGGCAGCGTGGCTTTGTGTGGGAATGTCGTGCCTCACAAACTTAATTGAATTTATTGAGGAAGTGACAGAGGTGATTGATGAGGGCATGGTGGTGGATGTTGTCTACATGGATTCTACCAAGACCTTTGACAAAATCCATTATGGCAGGATGATACAAAAGATAAAATCGCGTGGGATCCACAGTGAGCCGTTCAGATGGATACAGAATTGGCTTAGTCATAAATGACAGAGATTAGCAGGGGAAGGGTGTTTCTTTGACCTGATTAGTAAGTTTGTGGACAACACAAAGATGGCGGGGCCTGTGGATAGTGAGGAGGATTGCCAGAGACTATTGCAGGATATTGATAGGATGGAGATGTAGGCAGAAAAATGGCAGATGGAGTTTAATCCAGACAAATGTGACGTAATACATTTTGGAAGATCTAATACAGGAGGAAATTATACAGAAAATGGCAGAACCATTAGCAGGATTAACATACAGAGGGATCTAGTCGTCCATGTCCACAGTTCTCTGAAAGTGGCAACACAAGTGGATAAAGTGTTTAACAAGGCATATGGCATGCTTGCCTTCATAGTTCAGGGCATACAGTATAAAGATTGGCAAATCATGTTGTAGTTGTATAGAACAGAATTCAAGCCAGATTTGGAATATTATGTACAGTTCTGGTCACCACATTATCAGAAGAATGTAGGGGCTTTGGAGAGGGTATAGATATGGTTTACCAGGATGTTCCCTGATTTGGAGGGTATTAGCTATGTGGAGAGATCAGACAAACTTGCTTCGTTTTCACTTGAACATCAAGGATGAGGGGCAACCTGAAAGAAGTTTATAAAATTATGAGAGACGATAGAATGGATAGTCAGTCTTTTTCCCAGGGTAGAAATGTCGGTTACTAGGGGACATAGGTTTAGGTAAAAGGGGGTAAGTTTAAAGGCAATGTGAGAGGCAAGTTTTTTTTTTACCCAGAGGGTGATAAGTGTCTGGAATGGACTGCCAGATGTGGTAGTGAGTGCAAATACAATAGAAACATTTGAGAGGTATCTTCACAGATACATGAATAGGCAGGGAATAGAGGTATATGGACCACATAGAGACAAAAGGTTTTTAGTTTAGAAAGGCATCATGTGTTGGCACAGGCTTGGGGGATGGCGGTGAGGGGGGATGCAAAGGGCCTGTTCCTGTACTGTATTGCTCTTTGTTCAAATTTTATCATCTGCTATGATGGATTTGAACATGTCCTCAAAATGTTAGTGTGGGGTTCAGGATTACTAATCCAGTGATGGTACCACCACTCCATTGTCTTCCCACACTTGACCAAACCATTTTAGCAATGTATATACGATATACGTATATACGATTCCTTCATTGGACCTTTCTTTGTTCTTGTCGCACATGTGTTGCTCCCATTTATTGCCCAACTATAACTGCCCTTAAACTGAGCAGTTTGCTAGGCCATTTCAAAGGGCAGCTAAGTCACTGTTTTTAGCTCCTTGCAATTTAAATTTACTGCGATCTATCCATTTTGATCCAAATTTGGTGATCTCACCTGGCTGTGCTGAAATCAATTTGCCACGTCTCTGCCCATCTGCTGAATTGACCAATGCGTCTTTTTAATTCGGGTATGTTACAGGCTCTTACAGTTTACAACCAGTAAATCTCTAAAACATGTTGAAGAAAATGTCACTATGGTATTTTTTTTCATCCTGGGTTAACTTGCAACCGGGTCCGGAGATAATGTTTTAATTCCAGGACAATCCTAACGAGGCTGGTGACATTCTTCCCACTCCCACCATCCTCCCCACCCCCAGCTCCTTTGGAGAGGGGTGTTAGACAGATGAATGGTGCTGGTATTTAGCGGATGCTGGCGCTGTGGAGCACCTAATGCATTTTGCTCTGGCACTGGGTGAGGTTGGGATGTGATGTATTTCCGCTGCCTTGGAATTGATCAAAGCTGCGGACCGATCTGAGTAATAAACAGCAACACATCTTTCCTGGTATGGTAAGTCAGTCATGTTATTTGTAAAAACCGCAGGAATATCAATCCTCTAATAGTAACGTGGGTTTAGAAAGGGGCTGCCGGGGTTATGCTGATGGGGAGCGTTTAGTCTGCAGGGAGAAACCATTTATTATTGCGGTAAAAATCCAGGTCTCTGATTTAATATCACAGATAGAAAGTGTTTACACCCGAGCAGATATGATTCCGGGACTGGAAGGCCGGATTTGGGGATTTTATATTCCTGTCTCTATTATTTTCGAAAAAAAGACATCTTTAGTGCTTAAATGATGGAAAACACTGTTCCTTCTGGGAAGACTGAGAGGGTCCTCAGCTCCGTGCGGACATTACTAATGGAGTTGTTTAAATCTAATACAGTGGCTGGGCAACTTGTGGGAGAACGGAGCATTTGGCAGAAGGAGTGGGGACTCTGGGAGCAGGGAGGGGAATGAGAGAAAGTGTTCCATGCGGGGGAAGGGGTTACACTGTTATCCTGAGTGGGTAAATGTTACAGGGAGGGAGGGGAGAGCTATCACAGTGATTACGTTTAAAGGCAGAAGGTATTAGAGGAGGGGTTGAGGTTGGTAGAAGGTAGTGGTGGAGTTCATTGGATAGCAGAGGAGCAGAAATCCAGGTCACGTAAGGAGAGTGTAAAGTATGTTCCAAAAAAATAATAAAGTGAAGAAATGGCATTGTGATAGAGAAGGGGCATTTATTTGGGGGAGGGGTGGGGGGAAGGAATGGAAAGTGGCTTGGTGGCTGGGGTAGAGGGTGCAATTTTGGGTGCTCAGACATCTAGTTTTGTGCCAAGACAGTGGCCTATCTCTTTAGCCAGTCCGACCATTGACCATTTTCTATTTTGACGCACGGTCCAAGCAGACACCTGCACCTTCCTTTTCCTGTCTTTGGTAGCCTTGATATGACAGGACCGCAAAACAATGTGTTTATACCTTTTTTAGCCCCCACTCCCACCTCCAGTTGTATGGTACTGCATTGCCAATCATGGTGGCGGTAATGCTTTTCATCAGATCACACCAATGTACATGTTTGGTAGCCTGCAACACTGGCCACACTCAGGGAGTTGCAGGATGTAGGGTAAAATTGATAAATCAAAATGCAGGGGCTCTGTCCTCGAATTCATGTTATTCAAAACTTCAAGGTAGCTGAGGGTGCCCTAATTTGCCTATAAATGTGCTCTGCACAAATAAAAATGAAAAAACCATAATGCCTTTATTTTTCAATTTGATCACGCCTTACACTGGCCATATCTTGTACAGTAAAAGGTTCAAAAAACATTGGGAGTCAGCTGTGGAAAAACTCAGTAATCTTTTTCTGCATAGTGTGCTGACTTCAGGGGATCCTGCCATGTTGTTATTGCAGTCAACCACTTTTTCCCTTGTTTTTCGTCCACAGTGGGAAATCGCAGAGCATCTCCACGGCCTTTGTGGCTCCAGTGAGGGAAAATCTTCCTTTATTTCTCATTGGAATATTTTATCCACCTTCTTGATCCGTACCCCAAAATGCTAGAGGCCACCCTGACAGTTTTGTTAGCCTCATACAGCATTGGTAGTGTCTTGACCTCCATATTGGCACAGAATGATGTGTTCCTTGCTTCGCTTTCCACCATTAGACATTTTAACTTTAAACAGTAAAAAAGTGATCTGATAAAAGGCAATAAAACAGGAGGCAATGGCCTTGTGGTATTATCGCTGAACCATTAATCCAGAGACTAAGATAACATTCTGGGTTAGAATCCCACCACAGCAGATGGCGGAATTTGAATTCTGGAATTAAGAATCTAATGATAACCATTACTGATTGTCGGGAACAGCCCATCTGGTTCACTAATGTCCTTTAGGGAAGGAAACTGCCATCCTTACCTGGTCAGGCCTACATGTGACTCCAGACCCACAGTAATGTGGTTGACTCTCAACTGCCCTCTAGGCAATTAGGGATGGGCAATAAATGCTGCCTAAGAAATGACACCCTCATCCCTTGAATGAATGAAGGAAAAATAAATTTCACCTGTGTTAAACATCTCTGTTGGTGCGCACACACTGGGATGTTGGTGAGACTATTTTGCAGCTGTCACTGCAGGCTTACCTGCTCTAAAATGGCCTCACTCCACTCTGGTTGGTGTGCTATATGACAAAGATATATAAATTCATCTCTGGAGCTACCAGCTTGAATGCTGGCTTGTCAGCAGCATCCTATTATTGGATTTCTGATTCTATTGTTGGGAGTGACTGGAAAGTTTTCAATAACCAGAATTTCACATCATGGGTGGCACAGTGGCTCAGTGGTTAGCCCTGCTGCCTCATAGCACCAGGGACCTCGGTTCAATCACACCCTTGGGCAACTGTGTGGAGTTTGCACATTCTCCCTGTGACTGCGTGGGTTTCCACTGGGTGCTCTGGTTACCTCCCACAGTCCAAAGATGTGCAGGTTAGGTGGATTGGCTGTGCTAAATTTCCCATAGTGTCCAGAATTATGCAGGCTAGGTGGATTAGTCATGGAAAATGCAGGGTTACAGGGATAGGATAGTGGTGTGGGACTGGATGGGATGTTCTTCAGCGGGTTGTTGTGGGCTTGATGGGCTAAATGGACTGCTTCCCTACTGTAGGGATTCTGTGATTCTTCTATGACCTGAATTTGAATCATCACAATTTCTTTGTGATGACAAGGGGATAAAGGATTAGAGTAGTTCATCCAGCCTCTTGAGCCTTCTCCACCATTCATAGAAATCATCATAGAATCCCCACAGGCCCAACAAGTCCACACCAACCCTTGGAGCTTCCCACCCAGACCCATCCCCCTATAACCCACCTAATCTACACATCCCTGAACTCTACAGGCAATTTAGCATGGTCAATCCACCTAGCCTGCACATCTTTGGACTGTGGGAGGAAACCAGAGCACCTGGAGAAAACCCACGTAGACATGGGGAGAATGTGCAACTCCACACAGACAGTCGCCCGAGGGTGGAATCGAACCCAGGTCCCCGGTGCTGTGAGGCCGCAATGCTAACTACTGAGCCACCGTGCCACCCTTCGGTTAGATCATGACATTTTATCTGTATTTGCCTTGATTTTTGTATTATTTAATAAATTTACCTAACAAAAATTGATCTATTTTGAAAGTTTTCAATTGGCCTAGCCTCAAGTGCTTTCCAGAGGGAAGGGAGGAGCAGATTTCCAAATTTTCATCACACTTCATCTGAGGTACTGATTTCTGACTTCAATCCTGGCAGCCTGGCTCAAAGTTTAATATTATGCTCCTTTGGCTTCCTACTTGCAGAAAGTAGTTTTTCTCTATTTGCCCAAATAAATCAGTTCATGACCTTAAACACTTGATTAGTCCACCACCTCAACTTGGTAAATTTAAGAGAATGCAGTAATTGTCTGTGCTGTAAAAACAGAGGATGCTGTAAATGCTCAGCATCTATGGAGAGAGAAACATGTTTCACATTTGAGGTTTGTGATCTCTCATTGGAACACAGTCCATGCAAACTCTCAGGCAGGTCAAGTATTGTGTAATGAAATGATATTCATTGCATTCGATGTTGAGTTGGATAAGTGATGTGGTTATGTCTGAAATTAGGATCATTAGATTTAGGCAAATTACAGAGAATTGCTGGTATGCTGGTTGAGATAAGCAGATATTGATGGCCTATACAGTTTTGACAAACATTTAAGATATAATCGAGAGTTTCCAATAAATGAGCATTTCCTTGAGGAAATAAAAACCTCATCAATACTGCCATGGCTAACAAGCGACATTAAGGACCATGTTTGATTAAAATAATAAACTCACAATGTTGTCAATAAGCCAGGAAATTGACAGCATTTTAAAAATCATCAATGCCCAAGCAATTAATAAATGGGGGGGAATGATGCGAACAAACTAGCAAACACATTGTAAGAGCTTTTACAAGAGGAGGGGACTACTGAAAGTGAACATGGTTCCCTTAGAGGCTGAAACTGGAGAAATTATAATGGGGAATATGAAAATGGTAAAGACGTAATGACGTTTGATCTGTCTTGATGGCAAAGGACAAAATTTTTTAGGAACCGGGTTAAATAAGAGTGAAGTACTTCAATGATTATTATTTGGAAAAGGAAAGAACTGGAAAAACATGGGATGGAAAGCACAAAAGCCCCGAGGATGTGACTGCCAAATGTTCTAAAAGAGGTGCTGAGAGATAATGTTTGCATTGATTTTGATCTTACAGAACGGCTTAGACTCTAGAATTGTCCCTGAATTAGTAGGTTAGTGAATGCTATACTCCTATTCAAGAAAGCAGAGAACTAAAGGCCAGCTACCTGGGGTGAAGACTGGTTAGATGATTGGATCAAAATATTGGAGTTTAATGTGGGGAAGTGTGAAGTTATCCATTTTAGTTAGAAGAATGGAAAAGAGGTTTGGGTTGGATTTTGTCAAAGGTTAAATGGTAAGCTGTCAGTGTTCACAAGCCACTTTCCTGCCTGAACCGAGAGCAATTTCAGGTTATATCACTTGCACAGAGTTGCATAGTGTTATGGACCAGACCAAACCCCCTCAAAACATGTCAAGGAGATAGCCTATACTGTAATGTTTTCTTATTTTAAAGATAATTGTAGGGTGTTGCATTGCAGATGCAATTCAATTGGTCAAACTACTCAACCTTAAGGAAAATATACTTTATTTTTGCACTACAGTTAAATTACAGACACAACAAAACGAATGGGCTTAACTGTAATTCTATCAAATATTCAACAAAATAATACATATATTAACTGTTACTAATGTTCTAATGTAGTAACATCTCGTAAATACACCATTGGCAAAGACAAATTCGGTAAAATAGATCGGACTGCGTGCAATCCTATCAGCAGGAAGAGAACCCCAGCTTTTGGCTGTAACAGAGAGAGGAATAAGATCTTCCACATCCATCTTAAAGATCCCAGCAACTGCAGAAAGCTAAAACTAAAAATCCTGGTTCTGTGGGATCTTGAGCCCACCCATTCAGGCTGCTTCTATTGTTCCAATCTTTTAAAAAAAAACAAGCCTCTCAAGCTGTTTACTCTAGTGACTTTGAGCAGACCACTAGGTATCTCTGTCTCAATCTTTCTTCATTAAAAAAAACCACAACAAAATACACCTCTTAAAGCCAGCATATTGTGACAGTATTAATCCTGAAGATATGCGCTATCACTGCTCTGTCATCAACTACAATATGGTCCTCTTCAGATCAAACCACTGAAATTGGTGAAAATTTCAATGTTCCTTTACTGCCATTAGAAACTTTATAAAAAAAGAATGTGACAAATTGGTCATGAAAATATAGTTTTATAATTATGGAATTTTGATTACTGTTTAATTATTAGTGAAAGTTTTCAGAATGTTTTGTTTTATAGCTTCACCCCAATCTTTAATTTGGACTGGTTTTAAAAAAAAGTCACAAGTCATTTTCTTTCACATTTTTCTGTTTCCGTTTTGGATGCCTATGGAAATGCTTTGTGATTAGTTGCTTGGACAGCTTGTAAAACATTATTCCACTCCCATATTGGGAAATTTCAGGGCAGAATTTTCCAATCTATTGCTGTATCACTATACAACAATAGAGGTCAAATTCTTGTCAGAGAGATCACATAAGTCTATCAACAAGAATCCTTTCAAAGTCAGTGCCATAATCTGGCCGAATACTTTTTAGAAGATTAAAGACTTTCTAAATTATTTACATTTGGAGGGGGAGGGGGTTGGGGTCCTTGGATGTCAATCAAAGCAAATTAATATGCAGGTACAGCAAACAATTAGGGAAACACTTGGTATTTTAGTCTAATACTGCAATTTCCTTGCAGTAAACTGTCGAAAGGTCTTGCTGCACATCACACCTATCAGAGACAAATAAAACCGAGTAAGATTGTAGCACATATGGAGGCATTTGGTCCATTGTGACCATTTGCAATCTCTGAGAGAGCAGTTCAGCCAGTCCCAGTCCCTCACCCTTTCCTCTTAGCCCTCCAGAGTCTTTCTCTTCAGGTGCTTATCCAATTCTCTTTAGAAAGCCCCTGGTGAATCTGGTGCTGTCACACTCTCGGGCAGTGCATTGTAGATCCAAATCACCAGCTGTGTGAAAAACTATTCCTTGTCACCATTGATGTTTATACCATTCACATTATACTGGAGTCCTTTAGTTGTTGACTTGTTCACCAATCGGAATGGTTTCTCTCTATCTGCTTTCTTTAGATCTGTCATGATTTAGGATGTCTCTGTAAACCTGCTCTCGACCTCTCTCCTTTAAGGAGAACAACACCAGCTTCTCCACCTCATTCTTCACAATAGATCCAGCCATACCTCCTTCCTTGCTGCACCTAGAATCACCATGTGAAGTTATGTTCTCCTCCCCTAAGGAAGGATAAGCATATTTAAGAGTTAATGCAACAGAAGTTCATTAGATTGATAATTGGAATGAGGTTATTGTATTATTTGGAGAGCTTGAGTGAAATGAATTTAGACAAAAGTAGAAATAATAGTTGGGCAGAATTGTATATAAGGTTTTCTTTTACCTTTATCCTTTCATGTGATGTGTGAGTCAATGGCAATGCCAGCATTTGTTGTCCATCTCTTATTTTCCTTGAACTGAATGAATTGCTGGGCCATTTTGGAGGGTGGTGAAGAACTATTTATTTATTGTCATATGTATCTAGGGAGATATAGTGAAAAGTGTTCTGTTGCCACAAGTGGCACCAGGTGAATAAGAAGAATAAAAGAAGCACTAAAATAGAGTTCATCTTCATCGGCCCGGTCCCAAACACAGCTCTAGGACACTTGTAAACTCACCGCTCTGGGCCTACACAGCCAGGGGTCCCCACTCTGGGCACCAACACCATCATGTCGCTGACCTGCCACCGCTGCCAAGAATCCATGCTCTGGGCCTACTGCAGCCAGAAGTCTCTGCTCTGTCATCGCTGCAATTGATGTGGGCCACCATTCCAGGAGTCCATATATTGAGGCTATGAAGCCTGGAGTCACCGCTGACTCCACTCTGGCCTTCCTGTGATGTCAGCAACATGAAGAAAAGAAAGATGAAAAGGACAGAGAGGAAAAGAATGTGGCCAGCTTAGAGTAGATGGGCTCTGCCTGAACACTACCTGCTCCTTGCTCGCTGGGAAACCCCAGGCTGGGGTTAGCCATGTCTGGCTTGTCCTGCCATTGCTACTGCTGCCACCGGAGACCTCCTTTCACCCACCATCTCCAGGCTTTAAAGAAAAGAAAATGAAAAAAAAAGAGCAAAAGTAAAAAGAAGAAAGAAAGCAGATGGAAGTGGATGAGCCCCAGGCTCAGTCCTGCTACTCCACCATCATCTTGATTATTAAATAAAAAGACTTGGTGGTTATGGCTCTTATGAAAGGTCATACAGATTGTTTCCTATTGGATAAGGTACTGAAAGGCAGGTAACATACACAATCTGTTCGTACAATCTTTAGTGTAGCCGATGGAAACCAAGCGTCAATCATATATTGTGGTTCTGGAGTCACATATAGGTCAGACCAGGTAAGGATGGCAGATTTCTTTCCCTAAAGGATACTAGCAAATCAGATTGGCTCTTACTATAAATTGACAATACTTACATCTCCAATAGATTTGTCTGTTCTGTTTCCCTCCGTCAAATCAGTAAAAATAAAATCACAAGCATCCTGCTTGGGTTTTTACTCTTCAACAGCATCTTCTTTGCCTGTGCCTCTCAAAATGCATTAAGACTGATATTTCTATGGGTTTCAGTCTGAGTTTCTACTCTCATGGCCACCACATCACAGAGGCTTGTTTCTAAGCTTGTGTTTATCAAAACCTGTCCCATCTCCCTTTTCAGAATGTTCTCCATTTCACTTTATGCTAAGGGATCATTTTAAAGCACACCTACCCTTCAAAATGCAGCATTCATTGACAATGTAAAGATGCTAATCAGTGTTTGAGAATGTCGCTGTCCAACAGTTCAGCACTTACCACAGATATTGAATATCTAGCGCGTAATTAAGGAGATTATGAAAAGGTTAGAATAATGGAGTATTGGTCCTGTTCTATTTGCATTGGTTTCCATTAACTATGCTAATGTTTGTATGAATAGATTGTGGATGTCACTTGCCCTTCAGTACCTTAGCCAATATGGTATTATATGTTATATTATGGCAGGAGACAGAGGGTGGTGGTGGAGGGGTGTTTTTCGGGCTGGAGGCTTGTGGCATTCCATGGGGATCAATACTGGGTCCACTTTTGTTTTGGGTGAGAATTTAGGAGGTATGGTTAGTAAATTTGCAAATTACAACACAATTGGTAATATAGTGGACGGTGAAGAAGATTATCTAATATTACAAAGAGATCTTGATCAATTGGGTCAGTGGGCTGAAGAATGGCGGATAGAGTTTAATTTGGATAAATGTGAGGTATTGCATTTTGGTAATACAAACAAGGACAGAACTTATACAATTAATGGTAGCATCCTGGGTAGTGTTGTAGAACAGTAGTGGTTCAGGTACATAATTCTTTCAAATTTGCATCACAGGTTGGTTAAGAAGGCATTTGGCATGTTTGCCTTCATTGCTTAGACCTTTGGTACAGGAGTTGGGACATCATATTGAGGTTGCACAGGCCATTGGTGAGGCCCCTCTGAAATACTGTTTGCAGTTCTGTTCACCCTGTTTTTGGGAGGATATTATTAAACTGGAGAGGGTTCAGAAAAGATTTACTAGGATGTTGCAGGAACGGAGAGTTTGAGATTTTAAAAAGAACAGACTGGAAATGCTGGGACTTTTTTCACTGGAGCATAGGAGGTTGAGGGGTGATTTTATTGAGATTTATAAAATCATGAGGGACATAGATAAGGCAAATGACAAGGGTCTTTTTACTAAGGTAGGAGAGTTCAAAACTAGGGGTGTATTTTTAAGGTGAGAGAGAAAAATTTAAAAAGGACATGCGGGGCAACCTTTTCACACAGAGTGGTTTGTGTGTGGAATGAGCTGCCAGAGAAAATAGTGGATGCAGGAATACTTACAACGTTTTAAAAGATATTTGGATAAGTACATGAAAGGTTTGAAGGGAAATGAGCCAAGCGCAGGCAGGTGAGATTAGTTTGGGAACATGGTCAGCATGGATTGGTTGGACCGAAGGGTCTGTTTCTGTGCTGTATGACTCTGACTGTAATAGGATACAGTCTGTGTATGATCTTTCAAGTAAGCCATAACCACCAAGTCTTGTTCATGTAACTTTTTTTTAAAGAAACAAGATAACCTTAATTTCTTTCTAGCTAATCGTATTTTCTCATGGAGCTCAGTGGGATTAGTCTCCATTGAGCTTTGTTTTAATTTATTTTCCGACATTGAAATCTCTTGAAAATATTTAATGACACACTGTGTATTAAGTATTGATAATCACAACCACAGAACAGACGTTTTCCCATGAGATGACATTTATGAGGCATAATTTACTTACAGTCCTTTCTCTCTTTAGGTACAATACAACCTGCTGACTGCTTAAACTTCAGAAAAATAAATTAAAACCAGGGTGAGTTTTTTTTTTATTATCATACTTTATATGTAATATATTAAAATGTGGACTGGAACAAATATTTAATAAATCTAGTTTTTAAAAAGCCGCAACTGGTGATTATAATGGATCTGCACAGTGCTGCTATTGGTGCAAGAATTCCATTTCCCAGATATCTCATTTCTCACCTTAATAAGCGCAGACCTTTATGCTTGGAGACATTTTTAGTAAACAAGTATATGATAATTGAACAAAGAAGCAGCTTGATCTGTCTGGGCAACATCTAAGGTTTGCTACATAGTATATAGGTGATGGTATACCATAGTCTTAGGACCAGAACTAGCAAACTAATGGCTTTACAGTTAACAACAAAGCTAGCAGCTTCTATACTAATATGACAGTATCCTATTTTCTATGATATTTAATCACAAACCCCGATACTAGATTTCAGTCACAGATTCTGACATCAATAATTAGTAGTAAGCCCTGCCACAGTTTTATTTTCTATAACCATTGTGAAATTATGTCTAGAGTGCTTGAGAGATAGATTGAAAATATATGTCAAGATTCAACAGAAAAATATGTATCCATTTAGTCACTTGGAGTTCAGATTTGAGCATTGCTAAAACAAGACATTTTTGTCAAAGCTTTTCATCTTGCACTCATCAGGACAATTGCAAGAATTACAAAAGCAAACAGAAAGCAAAATCTTATACTGTATGAGAAATGTATGCTGACTAGTTGGAAATAGATTCTGACTGGTAGAAGCATTGCCGTGGTGATTTGTTAGGCCAAATTATCTTCTTTTTGTGAAGTAAATCCCAGATTGACCTAGGTAGGTTTCTGCACTATACAGTCATAAAACACCCATTACTCCCAATGTAAAACTTGAAGCAATCTGAGTGCAATTTGCAACTTGTAAATGACAAATTGTTTTCCTGTGATTCAAAAAGAGACAGAAAATGCAGTCAAAGTAGGAAGTCAAAAAAACAATGTGTTGAGTAAGTAGTAAGATCTAACTAAACCTCTATTTCTAATGAAATTTAATTCAAGTAACAACAAAAATGTGTCTTTTATTGAGGTATTCATAATGCCAAATATGGTGAGAAATTTTGCCTTCACATTCCAAAGATTTCAATACTACACCCAATATTTAAACTCTCCTTTAGATTCTTGAAACAAAAAGTGTCAGAAGAAATGAACGTGCTCTCAAGAAATGCCATTCTATTCTTCCTGAAATTGAAATGGAATGTGAAGTAATTGAAATGGTTATACTGTTCCATGTTTGCATTTCAACAGTTAAATAAATTATCCAACCATTTTCTAGTTACAACTACCCCATTGGAATGAAAGGATCACAGCATGGAAAGATCTTGTGTTAAAGCTGTCGAGGATTCCCTCACTTAAGTTATTAAAAAAAAAATGCTTGACTGAACAAAAAGACACTAGAAAACCTCAACGTTCATGTTACTCGAGTTGGAGAAGGATGCACAGCAGTATGCACAGCAACATGCTGGTACATAGCATGACATGTTTCTATTTCCCATTGTATTGCCTGCCTTTCCAGTTCTGCACACTACAAATCAGTCACTGGTGTGAAAAAAATTGGTAAGATTTTTCAGGCAATTAATACTACAGTCAATTTATTGAGCTGTTAGTCACTTCTCTGCTTAGGTATTTCATAAAATGTTCACAATAAAAATAGTTTTAATGATGTTTTGTGGTGATGTTGACCAATCACATTTATCTCAGTATTTCCTCATTTTACAACAGCTTATTTGATGCCAAAAGATAGTAAGTGAAAATGTGGTTAATCAAACCAGAGAAATTTATTTCATATCATTTATTTTAATGCTGTGATCCTCTGTATTTTTCTCTGGAAGGATAGTGTTCAGCTCTGAATTTCACAGTGTCACAATTCCGAAAGCATAGTTGAAAAGACCTGGAGCAATATTTTAGTTTATGCATTAATATTTATGTAATATTTATGAAAACAGTTTGTAGTACGATTTTGAGGAGTATTTCTGAAAATAGCAAGTGGGACAAAAAAGGAAGTTTTTTAATATCTCCGTAAAGCTTTCTCAAAGGTCATTGAGAGAAATTAAATGTGCCCAATTTAAATCTGTTAAAAGAAATGAAAAGTTTCAGTATTCGACTCCAAATCATTTCTGGTATTAGTCAGCTGCATGGAGTTTCTGGCACAGAGCCTGGGTGCAGTGACCATATCTTATAGTGCAGGTTATAGAGGTTGGCAGGGACTCAGGGGTCATGGGGAGTGCACCATTCATAACACAAACTACCCTAGGCAGTGATGAATTGCAAGAAAATCAGCTGCCTTGGCAACTCCAACTTTCTTTAATTTCCATATCAATCCTGTAGTGTTGCTTTACAATGTTGTTGCCTTACCTTGTTGCTCTTTCATGAACTAAGGAACTTCCTTCCAAGATTTCACAGTAGCTAAGACAGAGGCCACATTGTCTGTGCTATGTTGCCAAACAAGCTGTCTCTTGAGCATATTTATGGACCTTTCCTCTGGGTCAAAGGTATCACAGCGTACCTCTTCGTGATAAGATCTATTACAACCTGCAGTGAAAGCAACTTTACATGACATTGTCCATTGTAAACTTTCAAACATCAACCAAGTTATTTACGGGTTATAGACATCAATGAATAATGCACATTTAGCCTATTTTTTGCATAGAGGAAAATGTGACAAAAGTCATCTCAAAGTGATTGCCAGCCATTTCAATCTAAACTACAGTAGGGCGTTGATTAAACAAATTAATAGAAGTGAAGACAAATAAAATATTGAATGGTTCTGACCTACTTAAAGACTAACAGTACAGAAATAAGTAATTTAGTAATGCTCCTTCACTGTGAATGGCTGTTTCAGAGAATTATTAAAAATATAAAAAGTATTGATTAAAAAGCTGATATTTGCATTAACTTAGAACATAGAACAGAAAGGTACAGTACAGGCCCTTCGGCCCACGATGTTGTGCCAACCTATTATCCTACTCTAAGATCAAACTACCCTGCATACCCTACATTTTACTATCATCCATGTGCCTATCCAAGAGTTGCTTAAATGTCCCTAATATATCTGACTCCACTACCACTGCCGGCAGCGCATTCCACACACCCACCACTCTCTGTGCAAAGAGCCTACCTCTGACATCTCCCCTCTCCCTTCCTCCAATCACCTTAAAATTATGCCCCCTCATAATAGTCATTTCCACCTGGGAAAAAGTCTATGGCTATCCACTCTATCTATGCCTCTATCAAGTCACCTCTCATCCTTCTTCGTTCAAATGAGAAAAGCCCTAGCTCCCTCAACCTTTCCTCATAAGACCTGCCCTCCAGTCCAGGCAGCATCCTGGCAAATCTCCTCTGCACCCTCTCTAAAGCTTCCACATCCTTCCTATAATGAAGCGACCAGAACTGAACACAATATTCCAAGTGTGGTCTCACCAGGGTTTTATAGAGCTGCAGCATAATCTCGCAGCTCTTAAACTCAATCCCCCTGCCAATGAAAGCCAACACACCATGCACCTTAACAAACCTATCAACTTGAGTAGCAATTTTGAGGGATCTATGGACGTGGACCCTGAGATTCCTCTATTCCTCCACGCTGCCAAGAATCCTGCCATTATCCCTGTATTCTGCATTCAAATTCGACCTTCCAAAATGAATCACTTCATACTTTTCTGGGTTGAATTCCATCTGTCACTTCTTTGCCCAGCTCTGCGTCCTGTCAATGTCCCATACAACAGCCATGAACACTATCCACAACTCCACCAACCTTCGTGTCATTGGCAAACTTCCTAACCCACCCTTTCACTTCCTCATCCAAGTCATTTATAAAGATCCCAAAGAGCAGAGGTCCCAAAACAGATCCCTGTGGAACGCCACTGGTCACTGAGCTCCAGGCTGAATACTTTCCATTTACTACCACCCTCTGTCTTCTATTGGACAGCCAGTTTTGTATCCAGACAGCCAAATTTTCCTGAATCTCATGCCTCCTTACTTTCTGAATGAGCCTACCATGGGGAACCTTATCAAATGCCTTGCTAAAATCCTTATACACCACATCCACTGCTCTACCTTCATCAATGTGTTTTGTCACATCCTCAAAGAATTCAATAAGGCTTGTGAAGCATGACCTGCCCCTCACAAAGCCATGCTGACTATTTCTAATCAAACTATGCTTTTCAAAATAATCATAAATACTATCTCAGAATTCTCTCCAATAATTTGCCCACCACAGAAGTAAAACTGACTGGTCGGTAATTCCCAGGATTATCCCTATTCCCTTTCTTGAACAAGGGAATAACTTCCTCTTGACTAGATGTTCCACATGTCTTGTAATCCAAGGTTCCCTCACCTTACCATCCCTTCCTTGCCTCAGTGGGACAAACCTATCCAGCACTCACAGCAAGTGCTCCCTAGACAACCTCCGCATTTCTGTTGTGCATTTCCCTGAGAACATCTGTTCCCAATTTATGCTGTGCAGTTTCTGCCTAATAGCATTGTAATTCCCCCTGCCCCAATTAAATACTTTCCCATACTGTCTGTTCCTATCCCTCTCCATGACTATATTAAAGGTCAGGGAGTTGTGATCACTATCACCGAAATGCTCTCCCATCGAGAGATCTGACACCTGGCCTCGTTCGCTGCCAAGCACCAAATCCAATATGGCCTCCCCTCTAGTCTGCCTATCTACATATTGAGTCAGAAATCCTTCCTGGACATACCTGACAAAATCTGCTGCATCCAGACTATTTGCACTTAGGAGGTTCCAGTCGATATTAGGGAAGTTGAAGTCACCCATAACAGCAACCCTATTATTTCTGCACCTTTCCAAAATCTGCCTCCTAATCTGTTCTTCTTCTATGTAAAACTGTTTCTTTTGAAACCACAGACATGCCCCAAGTTAAATGTCCCAATTCTGTCTGTGTCCTGGAAATATTCAAATATCAGCATAAGAATTGTAATTGCCTTGTGCTTTGTATTCAGACACAACTATTTTATATCTTCTATTTTCTTGTCCTCCAATTGGATGCTCACCTAGCAAGAAATAAAAAATAATTGACCATTGAACTGCTCACATATCCTGTGAACAACAAAAGATGTTTGTTCATTATCTCAAAAATGTGTGATATTTCATTTAGCCTTGGCCAACTTGTCGCAACTGTTGTTGGTTTCTGCAAGTGATATATTAATTTTATCTAAAGGTTGAATTGGCTTCCAAAAAGCAGTGTGTGCTGATGCCTGCTGAAGTAGTCAGACACATCCTATTACTATGGGGTCTCACTAGGCCTTAAGTAAAACAAGCACCCTTACATGGTACAGCAGGCCACAAGGAGCCTAATGTCATGTTGTACTCAATGGATCTTATTTAACATTTTTTAACTGTATTTTCCTTTGTCTGTTAGAAGCAGAAAATACATCAGTTGATGGATGAGTGAAAGCTCATTCTATACTACCCTGAGAGCTGAAACCAGTGGGTTGAATTACCTGAAAGACAGGTCATATCTTCAGGCAATAATTTGGTCATCATTGTGTGCAGGTGTGTGCTGGCAATGCTTGTACAAGGAATTAAATGACACCAATTAAAATATTTCATGACACTTAAAAATAATGGGAGTTCTATTTCATAATAAATTCTCTAACTGAATGAGCTGTTTATTATTTTTGAAAGTCTTATTAACTGCAATCTTTTCCAATGCCTTTACTTGTATAACTCACTTGTTTTTACTTTTATGGGTAGAATTCATTAGGAGCTGAACTCTGAACTTTATTCTCCTCCTGATTTTGATTCAAAGCAGCGAAGTCCAACAAAAAAGACCCCTGAGTATGGTAATCATGTGAACCACACATTGTCGCCTACCACTTTGGGAGAATGGGTTGCATCGTTACATTGCGCAGAGGCTAAACAGTAATCAAACCTAAAGAAAGAGCTTGTATTGATGCACTGCCTTTCATAAACTCAGGACATCTTGAACTGCTTCAATAAAACAAAATAAATGTAGTACCTTTTATAATCTAAGGAAACACAGCATCCACTTTTTTACGTAGCATGGTCCCAAAACAATATACAAGATGAATGACCTAGGAATTTGTTTATTGTGCAGTTGTTAATAGTAAATGTTGACCGGTATACCAAGAGAACTGACCTATTTTCCTTAGACTCTTGTCTTGGGATGTTGTACTCATCTAAGACATTAAACAGAATATCTATACACTGACACATTCTAAATGAAATCTAAGTATACTTACAAATAAATGACCGATAGTTTGCTGAGTTCTCTTTTCTGAGAAAATTAAACCATCTCACAAAGAACTAAATATACTCCTTTTCCGAAAGTTTCTCTTTTACAGCTGCCCATAAGGTAGCAGGTCCTTTTGGACAAATCAACCACATCTTTGATGTTGGTACGCAGTCAATCTTTCAAAAGAAGAGTTTTCATCTAGAAATGTGAATCAGACGTGGCATGGAGCTTGACCAAAACTGAAGACTGAAACAATTGAATGTTTTTCTTGGGGAACTTCATTTATGTATTGCAATTAGTTTTGAAACAGCAAAGCAAGCAAACATGGACTGTTAGATTTACCCAATGAAGTAATGGTTAGTAGTGTTATACTATGAAAAGAACCTGCTGCTTATTATGACACTTTTACAGAAATTGCATGTCCATTTGACAAAATCCCACGCCCACTAATGTTTTCAGTGTACTGCCCAGAACTAAAGTAGCTTTATTTAAAAATGTTTCTATTTCTCATATCTGTCTTCCTTTTTTGTATCTAACAATAATTCCATTTTAGACTCTATCTATTTAGAACAAGATAAAATAAAAGTTAGAAATTAGTACTCTTGTCCAGATATAACTTGACTGGGGCACAGATGGAGCTAGCAAACTCATTCTAAAAGGATAGCCATGAAAATCAAGAAATTAAAGTCCAGTTAGTCAAAAGGAGTAATATGGAAAACCTCCAATATATTAAGAGGATGGGATCAGTATTCATTTAAAACACAACGTTTGAAGTCTGACTTTTCCTTTCTCTGAGATAATTAAATTAAAAGATGAGGCCATTAAGAGAGTGTACATGGATTTTCTAAGGTTAATTTGAGGATTTTATCAATGCGCATGGAATAAATTAGAAATGAATTGGCTGAATTGACGATTGCCCTTACAATAGGCAGAAGGCACTTGGAGCACTTAGCTAGGAGTGCTAGAACAGTCGGCTATCACTTCCTTTCAGATTACCCAGCTAATAATATGTTAGAGGGCACTTCCAATAACACTCATAAATTTGCTGATGACATCGAACTGCAATCAGGTGACCATCACTGGAAAATGATTGGAATTCAATGAGATTGAGACAAATTGAATACGCAGGTTTAGAATTCTAAATGGAATTTATTGTATATAATGTCAATCGCAACAAGTTTGAAATCTACATAGTAAATGGACGTTGTTCACAATATAGGAACATTTGAATGTAATTAATGACCATTTATAGTAAAAATGACTAGTCATTGTGACACTGTTGAGATTAATCAAGTGCTGAGATGAGTTTTGAACACATGCTAAAAGGCCAATAGAGGTGTGTTTTAATTTGGAATAATTCAAGACCATATTTGGAATATAGTGTGAATTTCTGACAGCCAACCTTCACAAGGACATTAGAAACAAAAACAGAAATTGCTGGAAAAACTCAGCAAGTCTGTTCTGAAGAAGGGTCACTGGACCCAAAACGTTAAATCTGCTTTCTCTTCACAGATGCTGCCAAATCTGCTGAGTTCTTCCAGCAATTTCTGTTTTTGTTTCTCATTTCCACCATCTGCAGTTCTTTTTTTTGTTCAGAAGGGCATTGATCAAAGAAGATTGCAAAGATATAGTCATTATTTTTAAAGGATGTGTTTTCAATATTGGTTATAACTTGAGAAGAAGGCTGAAAGGATTTTTATGTATTTTATAGGTGCTGTGATCACAATTCAAGTCCAGGCTTTGTTGGTTTACCTGTCCAAAATGACCTTTCAGTGCTTCCTTCTATTCTCATGCCTCCCCTCTTCCCTTCCCCACCCCTCACCCCCACAGCCCACTCAACATGTGTTACTTGGGTAAACCCAAATATCTACCTGGAAGTCTGTAGTGTGGTGTCAACTATTATTTATGTCAATAACAAATCTTCTAACATCAGTCTTTAATTTGCACTGTACCAGTTTGAACTTGTGTCCTACTGTTGGAGCTTGTTTTCAAGTTGTGTTCTGCATTTGCTCTTTCTATGTATATTTACCACTTTATAGCAATGTAAGAGAACTTCTCAGTTACCATTATTAATGGCTGAAAAATCTAAATTTCTCCATCTTTCTTAAAAACTTGATTCCCTGATATTTCATTTCTGACTATCCCCCAGGGAATAAGTTTGAGTTACCATAATTGGAAACAATGTGATTTGATCAGAGCATTATACAATTTCAGTATGATTTTCTTTTGATTTTTGGCTCTTCTACCTTGCTCATTTTTTATTCATCTATCATTCTTTTTGCACTGTTGCTCATTGATTCATAATGCTTGACAGATTGAATGTTTAATTGTCTAGCCTAGATCTTTCTGCAACTTCATTTTACAATTTCAACATTTTATATCAAGTTTTTTTTTAATCGCCCGTTTCTCTGTTATGTAGCACTTTAAGCTGCTTCATTTTAAATTGTGATTGGCATTGGTGTGATTAATTTTGTAATTCCTGGGTACTTTCTCAGGTTAGCTGCACTTCTCAGTTTAAATTGGTTGTTAATTTGTCCAATTGTGCTTAGATCTGAATCCAAATTGTGAAAGCAGCCAAAACAGTCAAAGAAAGTCAGACATAAACTGAATAGCACTTTGGCTATGCCACAGTCTGTCTACTGAGGGTCTTAGCATTGAACATCGGTGCATCCCACCCTGCAGCCCCTTAGCCACCCCTCCCCAACCCTCCTCTAACGTTTACCTGCTGCATTCTATCCTTTTTCTTATCCCTTGCCAAATCTTCATCTAAAATTTAATTACTTTATCCAGTTGGTGTAGTTTGTGGATCAAGAAACCATGACAGGGTCATCCAGGGTCTGCCAAAAATTGTTGTTATCATTTGGACATTGGTTCCCCGCTAAGACATTACAAAATAAAGGTTATTTGCTTCAGTATGCCACACTCAATTACATTAGAAACTGGATAGTTCATTTTGCCTCTGCGATTTTGAAACATTTATTTGTTCACAAGTATGTGGTTTAAATAGAATACGTCATGGATAGCAATGAGTTTCTGGTAACTATTAAGGTGACCCAACTCTCAAGTGAAAATATAAAACTCGAACATCATGATCCTCTATATTGTAATAGTAAACAAAATACAAAGATATTTCATTGGTTGAAAAGTGCTTTGGAACATTTTATGGTCACGCTATATGCCATTCAAATGTTACTCTTTTTTAGTTCCTCTTTGTTAAATCAACAATCTTTTAACATCCCAGTAAGGAGGAAAGACTCTAAGAGAGGGATAAACCAGTTATGGCTAACTAAGGAAGTTAAGGAGAGTATTAAGTTGAAAGAGAAAGCATATAAGGAGGCCAAAGTCAGCAATAGCCCTGAAGACAAGGATAAATTCAGAATTCAGCAAAGGAGGATTAAAAAGATAATAAAAAATAGAGAAAATAAACTATGAGGCAAACTAGGGAAGAATATAAAAACTGACAGTAACAGTTTTTTTAAAAAAATATAAAAAGGAAGAGAGCGGTCACAGTGAACATAAGGCCACATAGAAAATCAATCTGGTTTTGGGGAACAAGGTAATGGCAGAGGAGTCACGTAGATATTTTGCATCAGTCTTTACAGTCTTGAACATTCCATTAACGCTAAAGAATATGGGGGAGGAATTAAGTACCTCACTAGAGAAGTCGTATTAGACCAACTAATGGGGCTGAAGTCAGATAAGATCCCTAATCCTGATGGTTTGCGTCCTAGTATCATAAAATAGGGAGCTGTAGAGATAATGGATGAATTGGATATAATTTTCCAAAATTTCCTAAATTCTGGGGAAGTACCAGAGAATTGGCAAACTACTAATGTGACACCCCAATTTCAAAAAGGGAGGGAGGCAAAAAGTGGATAAATGTAGGCCAATTAGTCTAACATCTATTGTTGGAAAAGCATTGGAATCAATTATTAAGGAGGCAATGGCAGAATATTTGGAAAATCATAATTTAATCAAACATGAAAGGGAATTCATTTCTGACTAGTTTATTAGAGTTTTTTGAGGAATTCTGAACCAGAGTGGATAGAGGGTAAATAGTAGATGTGTTATATTTGGACTTCCAGAAGGCATTTGTCAAAGTACCTCACAAAAGTTAAGTCATAAGCCAAGAGCCCACAGTGTTAGAGGTAGTACATTGGTGTGGATAGAGAATTAGCTCATGGGCAGGAAACAGTGAGCAGGGATAGGGGTTTCTTTTTCAGTTTGGCTACCCATGACCACAGGGATTCCACAGGGATCAGTGCTGGAACTACATCTGTTTACAATGTCTATTACTGACTTGGAGGAGGGGAGTGAGTATAATCTAGCCAAAATGATGATGCAAAAATAGGTGGAAAGGCAGGTTGTGAAAGGAATACAAACAGTATTCAGTGAGATATTGATAGGTTAAGTAAGTGGGCAACAGGTTGGCAAATGGAGTATAATGTGGGCAAATGTGAAGTTATTCATTTTGGAAGGGAGAATAAAAGAATAGAATAACAGTTAAATGGAGAAAATCTGCAGAAAGCTGAAGCACAAAGGGACTTGAGGGTACTTGTGCATGAAACACTGAAAGCTAGCACACCGAGTGCAGCAGATAATCAGAGGCTAATGGAATGTTGACTCTTATTTCAAGCAGGTTGGAGTATAAGTGTAGGGAAGTTTTACTGCAACTGTACAAGGTGCTGGTGGGACTACATCAGGAATGCTGTGTGCAGTTTTGGTCCCCTTATTTAAGGAAAGATATCATTTCATCAGAAGCAGTTCAGAGAAGGTTCACTTGGATAATTCCCAGTATGGAGGGATTATCTCACAAGCAAAGGCTAAACAGGTTAGGACTCTACTTATTGGAATTTTGAAGAATGACAGGTAATCTCATTGAAACATAGAGAATTCTTGCGGGGCTTGACAGCGTGAACGCTGAGAGGATATTTCCTCACATGGGAGAGCCTAAGGCCCAAGGGCATAGACTTAGAAAAAAGGGACACTAATTTAAGACTGAGATGAGGAGGAATTTCTTCTCTGAGGGTTATGAGTCTTTGGAACACCTTGCTGTACATAGCTGCGGGAAAGAGTCCTTGTGAATATTTAAGGCTGAGATCAATTCTCAATCAGTAGGGGAATTAAGGGTTACGGGAAAAGGACAGGTAAGTGAAAGTAAGGAATATCAGATCAGCCATGATCCTACTGAATGGCAGAGTGGGCTTGAGGGTCTGAATGACCTACATTTGTTCATATTTCTTATGGAATTATGGTCTTACTTCAATAGTTTGCTATGTTATAAAGTATTAGCGAAGACTGAAATAAGTTTGTTTTGTAATATTTCTATTGTTTTTTTCTGTAACTATTATTTTTCATCTTTTGTAAATCAGTCAGAATGTTTGCAGTCGAGCAGTTGAAGGTCCTTGAAATTTCTTCAAACTCTCTGTTTTGCAATGGGACACTGGACCATCAAATCAGAAGTCAAGCCATTGGTGCTACGGACGTCAAACCAGACAAGAATTGTAACATTATGGAAGAGGTGTATGACAAAAATGAAAACCTTGGCCAGCTTCTTTCTGATGGGACCACATTCAGCCTAAAAGGTGAACCCGTTTTACAAGTGGAGAAAGAGATGAGTAGTTGTTTCCCCGTGAAAGGATCTCCAAGTTTAGAATTGGGAAGAAGACCAATCAGTGTAGAGAATGTCCGAGTTCCACCAGAAGGAGCTGAGATGGGCCATGCCACCAAATCTGGCACAGTTAAGGATTGTGAAGAGTTTGCTGTTTCTCCTTCGGACGACAACGGCTACTCCAGCAGCTGCCTGAGTATTGAAAGTCCAGACAGCATCGAAGGAAGCATCTGGGAGGCCAGTGGAATGGTGAGCAGTGATAATCTCGATCTATGGCAGCGAGCTGCACCGACCAAGATCGAAAATGTGTCAGGAACTTCGGCCACAGATTCCCTACTGCCCTCAATACTTGAGGCGGTTCAGAGTCTTCAAGAGAAGCAAAGATTCAAAGAGCAAGAGAAAGAAAAGCATCAAACCCAAGTGATCATGTATCGGCGGTTGGCCTTGCTGCGTTGGATCCGCAATCTTCAGCAGAAAGTAATGGACCACCAAAGCCGGCTGCAGGAGAGTTATGACACCATCTTGAACAACCGCAAGGAACTGCTCAAATTCATCAAACAAGGCGTCATCTAGCAGCGGCATCGGAGAATTTGATGTACCAAACTCAACATTTCAAGTGGGACAAAAAATTGGAAAACAACAAATTAAATCTGTAAGTCCATCAGAAAATACCATTTACATTTATCATTTTAGGTACGCCGTTTGCTGATCAGATTTTAATAGTAAGCCGAACTCTACTGATGATGTCCTTCAAAGCACAGTATTAATATATCTTCAAGCAGTGGGTATTTGAGATTGGAAATGTAAGCACTTTTTTGATTTAGTTTTTGTCAGTGAGGAATGGATAGATTCCTTTGCGCCTTTCTTGCATTTTTTTTAACTGCCAGCAAACATTACCCCCTCCCCAATCCCCACTGTTTCTGAGAATGTTTTATAAGATACGATCAGACAGAAATTATTTTAATGTGGTGATAAAGGATTGATTTTGTAATCCATCACACTCAATAAAACAATGGATGTTATGGTCATCACTTGATCTATACTGAGATTAGTCATTTCCTCACACTAAGAAAATAGTTTTGTTCTTTTCCTGTTTGATCTGTCTCTAGTCAGGAAAATTCAGTTAGCATATCATGCTACTACATTATTCACTTATAGTATATGATTTTACCATGTCACATTTTAACCCAAACTGACAGGTATTAGTTTCTGCTACGCTTGACATAGAATACATTTAACAACAAAGTGACTTCATAAACGAATTACTAACAAGTATTTGCAGAAATGCTAGTGAGAAATGTTTATTGCTCAACGAGATTAAGAGGAGGATTATACAAGGAGGCATGTGTTTTGACTGATGTTTGATACCAGCGTGCAAGACCCTTCTGTAAATCCAGGCTCCAAACAGCTCTACTTGGCTTTGTTAACTAGATTATTGGATTTAGATAAAACTTGTATTAATAAGACCATATTTGTGATCAATATTCTTTTGTGTTTGAATTATAGAGGCACTTTTTATTAGTTAAAATCCACCAAGTAAATTTTTTAAAAATATAGATTGACATTAAAGAAAAATGTGCTGGTGTATGAAGTACTTCTTTGTCCATATTCTCTACTTAAGCTGAAACAAATCAAAATATCATTTTTGTTTTGATGCAAAACTTCTAATAAAGTTAATTTAAGATAAGTTCATGCAAACAAATTGCACTCTGTGTTCAAATGATTGCACCTTTACTTCAATGAAAACATATATTCAGACTCTCAAATTCTGACAAAAATGATAGCACTACATTTTAAAATGAACATATGGAAATACTGCTGCATCTCAAATGTTTCATGAGATCCACTATGCAGAGTGAAATTTGTAAATTGTCTGCACTGTACAACAGAAACAGTATTGGTTGACTAATTGCTAAGGTAAAGATCATATAAAAGCAAAGCTCTGCAGATACTGGGAATCTATTAAAAACTGAAAGTGCTGGAGAAATTCAGCAGGTCTGACAATCTGTGGAGAGAGAAAACCAGAGTTCTGAATTTGAATTTGAGTTTAGAATTTATTGTCATATGTACTCTTACAAGAAAAATACCAATGAAAAGTGTTATAAGTGGCGTTACCATGGTGCCTGTATTAATGACAGAAGTCATATGTAAATTCATAAGTAACAATGAAAAGTAAATTTAGCACACAAGTTCATCACAGTCCATTTAACGGCTCCTGGTTTTGGAGCAAGCCGATCAATCCATGACGAGGACACCACGCTGGGCCACCGGGAAAAACTGGGCCGAAAGCCCCCACTGAAGAAGACTGTCACCAAGAAAAGCAAGAGTCAGTTCGGACTTAAAACGCTAACCCTGTTTCTGTCTCCAAAGATGATGCCAGACCAGTTTGTTGTTTTTATTTGTAAGATATTATCATGTGCATTTTTATTTGAGAGCTCTGTGAGCTGAAAATGGCCCACACAGAATGTATTACTGGTTGAATATTAAGTTGCTCCAATTGTGTCAGCCTTCTTCCAGACAGCATATCATTTTCACGCAGGAGGAAATGGGCTGCTCTGACCCTTTGCAAACTTGGAACATTTCTCTTTTTCGCTTGCTTAAAGCATTTGTACAAATCATGTAGACATGGCTGCTCTGTTGTAAAATAGTTAACACCAAGCTTATTATAAACACCTTGAGAGGAAAAACAATTCTATCTGTATCACAAATTTTATTCAATATAGGCCTTTTGTTAACAAATATTTGCACAAATTTAATCGTAAATGTTTTCCCGATACTATCACTGAGATCATGTGTTTAATCAAAATTTCTGATGTGCAATTTGCAATATGATAAAAAGCAATGTGGTCCACTTTTATGTATTCCTACAACATATATCTGTGTGTATAAATGCGTGCATATATATAATATAGTCAAAAAATCAATGTTGAGCTCCAACAACAATGACGTTTTGCTCAAAATTTGTCAAGGGAGAGTATCTAAAATAAATCAGTTATTTATTAACATTGGTCTCGAGTCTTTCAATTTACACAGAAAGAATTTGTTAATCTCAAAGATGCAGTGACAGATTTCGATGGAGTGTGGTAAAATTATAAAGCAAATGCCAATTATTCATAGAATCCCTACACTGCGGAAACAGGCCATTCAGTCCAACAAGTCCACACCACCCCTCCAAAGAGCATCCCACCCAGACCTGTTCCCCTACCTCTGCATTTTTCCATGTCTAATCCACCTAACCTAAACATCCTGGGCACTATAGCATGGCAAATCTGCCTAACCTGCACACCTTTGGACTGTAGGTAGAAACTGGAGCACCCAGAGAAAACCCACACAGACATGGGGAGAATGCGCAAACTCAACATAGATAGCTGCCCTAGAGTGGGATTGAACCTGGGTCCCTGGCACTATGAGGCAGTAGCGCTAACCACTATGCCACTATAAGGTTTACATCATATACTTTAAAGAAAGAGTAGTCTTTGATCCATATCGTCTTCAGAAATATTAGATGTGACACAAGCAATATTTCGCTGTTTGATTGTTACAAAGACTATATTTAAAACTGCTGCAACATAATTTGAAAACAGTTAAACTGATGATTTTTCAGTTAACCCGTTGCTTGCAATATTTAGCTTTACATGTGAGTGGATGGCAATAGACAAAATGAGTTTGTAGTTGAAAAGGAAGCCTTTATTGATGTAAAGTGCTACTTTTTAACACTAATATGCTCTATCTTTTTGTCTCACCCATTGTCACTGATCTTTGATAGTCCAGTCTTCAGATTGGGCTGCGATAATCAACAGAATTTTGATGCTGCAATCTCAATCCCTCCACCTATCGTTAGAGGTGCACCTCTCTGGTTTTGAATTAGTCTTGACAATTATTTCTCTCTCCTTTAATCTGTCAAAAGATTGAGAAGTTTTCCAGACAGAAAACAAAGCTTGTCTGGTTGGAGTTGCCAGGTAATAAATATTTATCAATGTTTGTATTTGATTTCAGTCCGACTGGCTGAAAATGCAGCACACTAGGTCAGCAAGGCAGTATGTTATTTGCTGTTTATTCTGTTACTAAACATGTTGAGTTGATTATTTATTGTCACGTGTACCTTGTTACAAAACACAGTGAAAATTGTTGTATAATGTCTCCACTCTCCGGCGCCATCTTGAAACACAGAAAAATAAACCGAAACATAGAATATAAAGGCAGAAAAATGAACAATGTTGATTATCTTACTTCCCTCTGTTTTCAACATTCTATTAAGAAGAATTTTGAAACACCGCTTAGTGACTGCCCATTAAAATAGATACAATGGATAATGAATTGTTCAAAAGCTGGTCTCTGGAATTATCTGTTTAAACCTGTGAGGAATGAACTATAATTTATTTTCTAAGTTTAAATTGATTGATCTATTTCATTAACTCAATTTGACCAAATTCCAATTACAGTCAAATTATAACAACTATTATGTATCTTAGCAAAGGATTTAAATGCTAACTACTGGATAAAGGTGATTTATTTGTATGTGTTTCACATTGGTATGTATGGGTTAATGACTATTTAAAGATTTACCGTTGCTAGCTAAAAGTTATTGAGCCCAATCAACAGTCAGCATCAGAGCACTTAGCTATGTCATAGAACAAGTAGTGCCTCCAGCTATTGTGGCCCTAAACTCTAGAATTCTTTCCCCAAACCCTTCCAGCTCCATATTTCTTGCTTCTTTGAGCCCCTGCTGAAGAACACACCAAAAAAGGAGCAATTGTAGGCCTGATTTGCCATTTAATCCAATCAGGGTGATCACCATACCTTCCCACATTGTCACATATTTCCATCGAGAGAGAGAAACTTTTGAATACTCTCTTTAGAATATTTCCAGAAATCAAGTATCCTCAGCTCTCTGGGGTAAAGAATTCTAAAGATCCTCATTGCTTTGAATTCAGAAATTTCATCTTAGCTCGGTTTTAAATAGTCAATCTCTCACTCTTGAGATGGTTATCCCTAAATCTATACTCTTAACTTAGAGGCAAACTCTTTCAAGCAGCTACCTTTAATACCTTAAATTCTACCTTAAGAATCTTATAGGTCAATTCTCATTCTTCTCAATCCAAGGGAATATCAACCTAATCAATTCAATCATGCTTTATCAAACAATCTTTCCATCCAGGGATCAGTGTAGTAAATGTTCATTGCACTCCCTCTCAGGCAAGTATTTCCTTCCTCAGATAAGGTGACCAAAATTTCACAGTACTACAGGTGTTGTCTCACCAAGGTTTAATATAGTTTGATTCTTCAGTCTTTTATTTCAAACCTTTTGTAATAAAGATCAACATAGCATATTTGCTTTCCACAAATTGCTTACGACATGTTAACTTCCTGTAACTGATATACAGGGTTAGACCCTCTGAATGCCGTCATTTTGTAGTTTCTGATCATTTGAAATATATTCTGCTCTCCTATTTGTCCAAGCCTACACACTTAACCTGTCCATATTCCACTGCAGCTCCTTTGCATTCTCCTCGCACCTAATTTTGTAACCAAGTTTGTTAATAATACATTACACTTGTTCCCTTAACAAGAGCACAAGAAAATAAACAGAAGTAGATAATAAGGACTGCTCAGCCATTCAATGTGATCACGGGTGGTCCTGGACTTTGACCCTTCTTTCCTGCCTGCTCCCCATATCTCTCAATTCCCTGGGAAATCAAAAATCTGAAAACTGAATCTTTATTGTATTCAGTGATAGATCATTCACAGTCCTCTAGGGTGGAGGATTCAAAAAATCCCAGCCATTTTAGCGAGGTAATTTCCCTTACCTAGCCCATCCTAAATGATCAACCTCTTACTTTGAAACTGCCTCCATGTTTTAGACACCCCGACCAGCAGATCTATTATATCAGCCCCTTCGGAATCTTATATTTCATTGAGATCATCTCTTCTCCTTCTAAACTCCAGAGAATAGAAATTCAAATTACTCAGTCTTTCATCAGAGGAGAATCTCTCCCTCCCTCCACAATCCCAGGGATGAATTTAGTGAACCTTCAAATCTTGAAATGTGATCCGTATACCAATGATGCTTTTCTTACTAAATCTAATTACGTTTTTCAGTGTTGAAATGTTAGTTCGATTGATATTGCACTGTTCTCACAATGGAAATTCTTTGTAATATCATCATTTTCTCCAAAGTGGGTAGAATCATTATGCGTATAAAGATGAAGCAAATTTTCCTATCAAAATTGCACCAACAATCATCAAAGTATGGCCAGCTGTCCGATTGAATGTATTACGATGCTTGGAAAGTCAACTATTACTCAGCTAATCATATTTGGGACCCTTTACAGGAAATTTTCAGATTTGGTTGCAATTCCTTATCCTTATTCAGTCACAGAACATGGATGTCCTGGCTAGGCAAGCATTTATTGCCTCCCCAATTTGCCCTTGAGATTTTATAAATGCTTATGTAATGTGTTATTTCAGAAGATAGGGCTCAACTTACAGACCAAGACATTACATGTATTGAATGACAAATTTTGCCCACTGACATTTTCTGTGAAATTGCTTAGGCCTCATACTACTTTAAAGACATGATGAAAATGCAGTTGTTACTGAAAAACTGAAACAGTGGAATGAACAATTCAGACTATTATGAAGGGAATATTCACTGAGAAGTTTTTGAATGAAACTGAGCTTCTTCGTCTGTTGCTCTCTTGTTATTCACCATATTACCAAGATATTGCATGCGTAAACTTTAGACTGGCAAGTTGGAATGTCCTGACAATATTGCCTCCAAGTGTGCTAGATTCTGTCAGCTTCCAGATGCACTAACATTTTCTATTTTAAAAGTATCTTAAAGTGCTCAGAACTTATTGCTACACCTTGCGAAGTCAGCCTCTTGTCTTGCTTTCATTAATGTACCAAAACTGCTAAGAATAAAAAGGGAATGAAAGCAGAAACATGAGGGACAATGTCCATGGATACATTGCAAGCATTTTGTGCAGTAACTACATGGGTTCTGGTCAACAAAGTCATAAGGCATCTTTTGACAAATACACAGCACATCTGCTACTACAATAAGAACATTGAAAACATTACAGAGTTTGTATATTGATAACATATTTACAAGAGCAACTATTTTCTTGGACCATGGCCCTCATGAATCAGACATATAATAGGATGAATGATTTGATTTAAAGACACAACCTATGCAAAATACTCAGAGATCAATCAGCAAGCGTAAAGAGAAAAAATACATTTGAGGCATGAACTTTTATGAAAACTTAACATTGAAAGATAAGCAGTCATTTTTTTTTGGAGTTAGGAATTAAAAAGATTCCAAGGATATTAAACTGATATGAAAAGTCAGAGTTGAATGGCTACAGATGTCTTATAAGAAAATTGATATATAAAAGGAAGTTGAAAGATTGTTAAAGTGACCCCTCATCATGTTGCTGTATTTTGCTAATATCCAGGAACTTTTATTCTTAAAATGATTTCAGCGTAGAAAGAAGACATTTGTTCCATCATGTCTGTGCTGGTACTCTTGGCAAGCTATTGAACTAGTTCCATTCCATTGCCCTTTCCTTATAGTCGTGTGTCTTTCTCTTCAGTTATTTATTCAATTCTCTTTTGAAAGTCATGATTCGATCTGCCTTTACGATACTCTCAGGCAACACATTCTAGATCTTACACATTATTTCACTTTAATTCAAACAGGCAGTGTTGTAGTCATGTGACCTCAACTATGGGATGCCTACACTGTAGGCAGACATCTTAAGTTCAGTTCTATTGAACATTCCGCTATGTTGTACATGAAATCTGCTGTCAGAAATGAGATTGAGGTGACTATTGCAGAGCTCTAAGAAAGTATAGCTACTGACTGGGAGACTGTGCAGAGCTATGACTTACACAAAAAAAAACAACCCAACAACATTTAAAGCATTGGCCAAGAGAAAATGGCTGCACTCCCCCTGCCCCCCACCAACCCTTTTTGTTCAAATGACAGGGGATTTGAA